CTCTACCTCCGATCATCAGCTATTAGAATTTCATAAGAAGCACGCAACCCAGATCCCTCACATGTGCAGCTCACTATACGGTTCATGCTTCTATGAGAATCTAATGCCACTGCTGACCTGATAGGGATATAACTCTGTCAGTATTGTGAGTGATAGAGAGCTTCTGTGAATACAGATGAAGCATTCATTATTCATTCTAGTTTATGTCTAGATTCCCCTCAAAGCCTTATGTGCTATAGGTGGGAATTTTGGAAAGTGACCACATCTAGGGTGTGTGATGCTGGGATTCAGGTATGTGATTACTAAATTAGTCTCCTGATTGGCCTAGCAGAGTTCTGGGTGTGGATAATAGAAAGACCCACCCTGGATGTGAGAGGAACCACTCAAAAGAGGGGAGACCTAGATGAATACAAAGAAAAAGAAGGGAGGTCTGCTGCTGCTGCTGCTGCTGCTGCTGCTGCTCTCTGCTTTGCTGTCTCTTGCTTGCTTGCCATGGGCTAGTTTGGCTCTGTGATGCCCCTTTGCTAGGCCACCCTGCCTTAGAGCCAGCTAACTATAGACTGAAATGTCTACAAGCTGTGAGCCGAAGTAAACCTTTCCTTCTTTAATTTTGGGTGTCAGGTATTTTGCCCCAGCAATGAAAAAGTAACCAAAATAGATATGCTCATGTGCCCACTGCTCATCTCCCACTATGTGCCCAGGTTCCTAGCAAACAGAGGACCAGTACTGGCTGGTGACCCCTGCACTGGCAAAACATGCATGAAAATGCCAATGTGAGGCATCCTATTGTGAGAGTGAAATTAAAAAGGCAGAAAACTCCCATTTGGCATTTTCTTTTCTTTATGTGTCACCTTTTCAGGTATCTGTCCAGCTGGCAATGACCCTTACTGAGGACTCTTGATGAGACCTATAGAGTTGACCTCCTGGTCACTTGGTGTTTTTTTTTTTTTTTTTTTTTTTTTGTTTTGTTTTTCTGGTACCGGGAATCGAACTCACAATGTTGAGCTTGCCAGGCAGGTGCTGTGCTGCTGA